GATCCTTCCATGACAGCAGATGGTCAATCATTACACCCAAGTATTTGTATGAAACTCCCTGCTTGATTTCATCTGTTTGGATGACAATGGGGACTTTATGGGAGTCAGATGGTGAGCCAAAAATGATTTCCTCAGTTTTCTTGGTGTTGATATTAGGGAGAATATCTCCTGAACTTCCCCACTCAGTCCATCAAGACCCGAGCAGTTGTCTAGAAGTCCAAGGCAAGGCACGGGCCGGCGCATCTCGGTCAAAGTAATCCCTAGCCATATGAACTTAGACCCAGAGGACAGAGGTGGAGAGGCACAACGTGTCTACGTAAAGGCACTCCCTTAGGATAGGTTGAGGGAAAAGAGTAGGGAATAAGAAATGATATGATTTCTGAGTCTGTAATGTGAGGGAGTGAGGGGGAGTCATCTGACTCTATGCGGCTGAAATCATTTAAACTGAGCTGTCATCCAGACATACAGACCTCTCATACATTTGATATGCAGATGTCAGGATCTTCGCTGCCTGTACGACTGTCTCCGCCCCCCCCCCCCTCCTCATGTATTAATGACGTGTCGATAAAGAGCTCTCCCATTACACCCATCTTTAACCTTCATGCTGCTCTGTGTTTGTGTGTCTGCCCTCTGTCATAGCTCCTCTATTATTTACCACACATCTCTGTCTGGGTAGGGCTTGTGTGTGAGACCAGCAATCGCCTCTAGGTAAACAACCAATGACACGGGTGACCCTCACACACACACACACACACACACACACATACACATACACATACACATACACATACACACACACATACATACACATACACATACACATACACATACACATACACATACACACACACACACACACACACACACAACCTTTCTAACCTCATACGTCCTCTGACCACATCTCATTTCCAATCGATATGTTTTAAGCAAAGCCCCATCCGGCCAAAACAAACTTTGCTTGCTCGGTCGGTGTGTGTTTGTTTTTCTATGAGGGAGATTCAGGTGTTATTTTCAGGGTTGGACCGTGATGCCCTTTAGGTTTTCTTCAGGCGACAGTAAGAGGGATCCATCATCCCTATCTTTGACGCCTCATGCTGCCTTGACTTGGTGTAGGGAGGAGGCTGGAGGTTTACACCAGGGGGGCTCAATCTGTTGGGGCATTATTCCAATGAGATTTTAATAATAATAATAATAATAATAATAATAATAATAATAATAATAATAATAATAACTGCAACCACCACTATTTAGACTATTTAATGTTTTTAGACTGTAAATGTAAATATGCACATTGACATCGAATTTTATCTCGTTGCACTGTCATCGCTACTACCTCTGCTTTTACCACTCTTATTTCTTTATTTGTGTCTATTTTTACTGCAGTGAGTGTTGCCAAACAAATGTTGTTGTACTTTGTATGATGACAATGAAGATATATTCTATTCTATTCTATTATAATTGTTACCAGAGTTGGAAGGGGTAACTTAAAGGAGACAAGTCATGGTCATTTCCAGGTTTCATATTAATACTTTGTGTCTCTCCTGTGACATGTCTCAATGCTTTAATGTTCAAAAAGCTCTTTATTTTTCTCATACTGCCTGTGCTGCAGCACCTCTTTTCACCCTCTGTCTGAAACCAGAGCCCAGTCTGCTCTGATTGGTTAGCTTGCCCGCTCTGTTGTGATTGTCCCGCCCCTTAACCTTTTACCTACAATGTGCTGGAGGGCTAGCCAATCGTAGTGCCAGTGTTACATAGTGATGTCACTATGTTACTGAAGTAAATAAAGGAGTCCAATGGAAGCTTTTCAGGCAGGTAATAACAGTATAACATGGGGGTAACTTGGGTATATAATGCGTGTAACAATGGTGGTGTAATACGGATGCATTAATGTGTACTATGGGAATAATAACCGTGTAATATGGGTTGAAATAACTGTATAATTAAGGTGAAATATTGGCGTACAATAGTTGTTACTTGGTTGTAATATTGGTCTAAAAACAGTGTAATGTGGGTGTAATATTGGTGTAACATGGTGTAATTGTCTCCTTTGTAAACTTACACTGCTTAAAACAGGCACAAATTAAAATTAAAACAAGAGATAAGTTTAGTACAACAAACATTCTTGCTATAGAAAATATATATCATTGAGCAATGATTGGCACATAGTGACATCACTTTGTAACACTCGCACTTCTATCGGCTATCGCTCCAACATAGTGCACGTTCAGGCTAACGGGCAGGACATCTATAAGCGTTTGACCAATCACAATACTTTCAGAATGTATTACCTAACTTCTGAATGTTAGCTTAAAGGTCACTTATAGAGAGGCGAAGTCCCTCCCCTCCCGGGGGACCTCCATGGGACCTTATTTCGGAAAAAATTATGTATTGAAGTCAATGGAGAGAGAAAGATTATCTTTCAATCCCGTTTGAATTGTGCCACGAATTACACACATGATGTTTGATAATTTTGCAAGTCAAAAAAATTAAAATGTGTTGTAAAACTGTGAAGTAACACTTTTTTTTGTGTGAAACCGCTCAATGAACTACATCTCCCGTCTCGCACCACACACCAAGACGGCCGTCACGTTGGCACATTTCACTTCTTTCTTTCAGAATGAGGCGGAAAGTATTAAAAGAGGTGAAAATCACTACAAGTCTGGGCATGTTGAGAGCTGTACATACACACAAGGGGAGTTAGTCGGTTCCGTAAGAACAGTTTACAAGGTTTCGGTGAGTAACACGAGTGTAATGTGTAACGTTAATGACATCACTTACGCGACTCTGGGATTTGTAGTAGGATTTGCGTATTTTTCATAGTCTTATATTTCAACAGTTTTACGACAAACTGTGACTTTTTTGACATGGAAATTATTTTTTAAGATTGACAAACATCATGTGTGTAATTCGTGGCACAATTCAAACGGGATCGAAAGATAATCTTTCTCTCTCCATTGACTTCAATACATAATTTTTCCGAAATAAGGTCCCATGGGGCGGAAGTAGAAGGGCGGGACTTCGCCTCTCTATTATGCAAAATCCACTTGTTCATGTCTCTTCTACATCAACATGTGGTCCCCTCTGTGTAAAGAGACTCTGAAAGTTTCAGGAACAAAGATTCTCTCACTTTTTGTCCTGATCCATTTATATAAAAACCTGTCTGAAAATGAGCTGATCAGATATTGGCCACTTTATGATGTCATAACGATTTTTTTGGCTTGTGTAACCATTAGCCAATCACCAACCAAGGTGTCCCCCCCCCCCCCCCCCCCACCTTATCACCTGAATCTCCTCCCAGAGCATCATTGTGTTCTTTGTAACCAAATATCTCTCAGAGGGGCGTGGGGAGGGGCTCCTTATTTTCATCTAAAGTAACAGACAGAGAATCAGCACTTTGGAAACAGGGCTGAAACAGAGGGGATTATGGGATGCTGCAATTATCTGTTTGGTGTTTGGAGCCAAACACTTCAGAGACATGTTTTGTATATATCTGAGACCTATAAAAACAGTATAATAGGGGACCTTTAGGTACAAAAATACGTATCATCATTGACCAAAAATATGTGCTAGCTGACCCTAGATCAGGGGTATTCAACTAAAATTCAACGAGGTCCAGTTAGAGAAAATGTCCCCATGCAAAGGTCCGGAACATGAAAATGTCTAACTTGCTTTATGAATTAGTGTGATATATATTGAAGTAGCCTGTAGCTTTATCAACGTCTGCATGTAATCAACAACTGACTGCCAATAAAAGAAAGAAAGTACAATTCAAAAACAACAATATTATTTGTCAATTAACACTGAACTATACAGATATACAGTAAAATACTGTGGATATGTGTAATGTTCCTCTCTGGCTGCATTTAAAAATAAAATAGAGAAATATATAAAATAGCTTTTGAAAATGTGTGCATCTTAAAAGTGCTTAATTTTAGATAAATAAAATAAAGTGTAGCAGCAGCTTGAGTTTCCCTTTTTCTTTGTTAACCGTTTCACATCATGACCTAACAGTTTCAGCCTATTATAGAACAATATCAGTCTTTAGACATCATAACAATTGAACAGTTTTAAAGTTTCTCTTTCTTTCCCTCTTATATTGCAGTCCCTCACTCACTTGTTTTTGTTCAGTGCGAGAATTGAGCTCGAGCTTGTCCTGCCAGGAGTTTAAATCTGGGCTGAAATGGTGTCAGGGCCATTCTCATACACACATGCAGGTGCTCATTGGTTAGCCTCGGTTAGCCTGCCCTGGAACGATATTTAGTATTCATTTTGATCCTGGTGGACTGATCATATTGGGCCCTGAGACTGCTTATTTTTTGTGACCTCAGTTCTGACTTGAGAGGGAATGTTTGGTCAAACACTTTGTGTTTTGTCTCAAAGTGGCGTTTTGGCACTTTTAATGAGCACCACAGTCTCTGAACAAATGAGACACACTGGTTTTGTGCTCCCAGTGGGCAGGATGAACATGAATGAGTCCGTCCACTCAGGGTTAAAAGCTCTGTTCTCACTGTCCACTTCTTGGAGAGCGCCATGTGTCATTATTTGTCTCTCCCTGTCAGCCGCTAACACGCATGTTCACTCTCCTCTCCGCTTCTCTCCCTGTATCGCTAATTATTCTCTTCACTCACTTTCCTCTCCGCTTCTCTCTGCCGCTCTCTCGTCTCTTCTTCTGTGTTTCTCTCCCTGTATCGCTCACTCGTCTCTTTCGCCCCCTGTCAGCGATAAAACTGAGGTAATTGTTTTTGGAATCAATGAAGAACGAATAAAAGCCAGCGCTGAGCTTCAGTTGGCAACGTTAAAAACAACAGAAAATGACAGAAATAGGTGTAGTCATGGACTCTGACCTGAAGGATTTGTACACCAATTTCATCTGTAATGTTTCACCTGTAAGGTGTTTCATGTCTTTAACTAGGTTGGGATTGTATTAATTCCATAACACACAATTCACATCATTTCCATCCTGATTTAATAAATGTTCCTTTAAAATAATACAAGAGATAGATGATTTTTGTAATGCAATGCAGATTTATTCCAAATGACAAGTAGATCCATTTAAAACAGATAGGTTGATTACATTTTTATGTTGAAGAAAAAAGCAGAAGAAAACATTTGTTTTATCAGATGGACCATCATGGACTCAGGCGAAGTCGTTCTCTTGTTGGAACGCACGTTGTTCCATCGCTTCCTGTGCTTTCATCGCTTCCTGCGCTTTCATCGCTTCAAGTTCTTCCCCGGAAAACATTCTGGTGCAGAGAGAGAAAAGATCCGTAGAGTTTAGACAAAAATAAAACAAATCATGCATCAAAAGCACTTTCAAATAATTGAAATATCAAGAAAAAGACCTTACCCATGGACTTGTTGGGCAGCTAATTAAAAAAGAGAGAAAAATACGTTCAGTGCGATGCATTATTCTTTGTGATACTGTGCATTATAATTTATTATAAGCCGTTTTATAAACATTCATTATTTTATTGGAGTTCTAATATTTGATTTGGAAGAGAGAGTAACTCACAAGAGAAAGACCCAAAAACCCATTATGGAGCCTCTTTAAGTGATGCGACGTAACAGAGATTTCTGCATTAGTTTGGAACCAAATTGTGGCAGGTACAAAATTCCCACAAAGGACTTTTGCTTTTTTATGTTAGAATGGACAAAAACGCCAAAGCAATACATTTACTCTCAGTGGACACACAATGTGACTTTACCATTCAATGCATTACCGACATGATTCCAAAATGAACCCTCCCCAGGTTCAGCCATGAGGACCACCAGCGTCAACACCAGGAACATCATAGCACACTTCATCCTGAAAAACTAAAACACAACATGTGTCACTCAATCAAACTATTTCATCCACCAATTTACTACAGCTATAAGTCAGAGTATATATGCAATGTATGAAGGTAGATATGGTGCAAAATGCGAGAGCGTGTAAAACCTAATTTTGCACTCTTGACAAGCCTCTGCGCCTCCTCGTTCTGATAGCTCCGCCCCTTCGTCTCCAACCCCCCTCCCTCCCCACATCTACACATTCATCGCAAGAAGTGTTGCAAAAGTCAAGGCCGCAGATTTGTCGATTTATACTGCCACAGAGCAGATTCGTGAAGTTGTAATGACTGATTTGAGAGGTTGTAATAACCAAGTTGCAGTTGTAATGGAAAATATATTTAAAAAATATTTTTTTTTCTGCAAGTGAACATTTCATCACTAAGTTCATTTTTTTTCTACAAGCTACAAAACTTATTTTTTTCTTCTGTGACTTCAAATTTGGTTCACAGATACGTGGATATTTTATACAAGTGTAAATGTATGCACACAAGCTCAGATTCTTTTTCTGCAAGTGCTCACATCAGGTTTTACAAGCTCTCGCATTTTGCACCATATCTACCTTCACACAATGTCAAATCCCAAAGACTTCATTAAATAACAAATGTAAAATATTTCACCTGATTGAGAGTCTGAACCAAGAGGCTTGTCAAGAGTGCAAAGTGAGATCTTGAAGTGATGTGAATCCCTCTGTCTAACCTGTGTCTTTATAAAGTTATGGTGGAACTTAAAAATATATTTAGCATATATTTCACAACACTGAATTTTGCATATGTGTGTGTGTGTGTGTGTGTGTGCGCGCGCGTGCGTATGATTGTGAAATAACACCAAAAAAACGGAACTTAAATATCTCTTATTGTTAAACCTTAATTCTTCACATTATCAGTAACTTTTACATTTGATTGACAGTGCATGCTGTTTCGAGATACTAAGAATTGTATTGGTTTAAAAATATTGTGTAACCAGGCTTTGAGAAATTGTTTTTCACGTATATTTTAGAAAATAATAACATAATAAATAAAACCACATTGTGCATTTTTCAACACTAACCATGCATGCGGTGTCTGTGAAGTCCATGCATCACAGTGACTAGGAATCATACGTTTTGTATTAGATCACATTAAAAAAAGGAAATTTTTCAGAGACACAATTTCACTCAGAAACAGACATTGTAAAAGTAATTATTTCGTATTATTTCATAAATGTACTTACTTAAGATCTGCAAACGCTAATATAAACATTAAAAAACAATGTTGATATAAAGTTACAGGAACTTAAAATAGAGCGACAAAGCAGAGATGACTTTTTTTATCAAAGCTTTATTCAGCAGGACAGTATGCAATGTTTTACATTTTTCAAAACCAATTGGATCAGTGCCCAAAATCACAAAATCTCAAGTGCCTCCATACAAATGTTTCTTGCTTTTGGAAAGATTCAGTCCTGCCCAACACGCGGAGCTTGGTCGTAGTCCACGTCACGTCTGGGCTGATACTGAGACCTGTTTCTACACGGGTTGAATATAAAGATTTTAGTCACAAAAAAACTGAATCAAGAGGCACAACATACAAAAATAAACCTGAAAATGTGCATAATATGTCCTCTGTAAGTAACGCTCCCAAACCTGGTTATTATTATGTAAAGCTCCTAGGAATACTGCCCCAAAAGCTTATAACATCACTCTGCTTTAACCCATTATTTGATTCGATTTTTTTTGTTTGTCTTTTTGTCCACATAGTTGCAGCCCGTGCTCTAAAGTGCCAACAGTTTCTTTGTGTATGAAGACCACATGGTTGTGGTGTGTACTGAGTGAATATACGATATCCCCCCCTTAATACATGTGTATGACCTTGTGCTTAATCTTTGTCTATAACATAGACTCTATATACTATCAAATGGTCAGTTATTGCCATTATGTTTTGGTGAGAATAATGAAAAAAGGAAATAACAATTCTTCACATGTTTCAGAGAAAGCAGCAAACACCAAACATATTATGTACAACTGACTTTGATGACTTGAAGATTTTCATTTGTACAACAGTGTGTGGAGTGCTACAGATTCTGGTTTAGGCAAAAGCCTTTTTTTGTTAAATTTGGTGTTATACAGCTCTTTTTGATGTTATCGTGTCTTGTGCTCAGTTACCTTTGTTGTGGTCCGTTGAAGCCGTTTAATAAAAAAACAGCAGGGACCGAATACTTGTTTGCCTTTGGATGGTCTTTGTGTTGGTGTAATGTCATGACACCGCTTTGTCTGTTCAATAGTTTAATACCTGCTACTACATATACCTTTCAGTTTTTATTTTAGTATTCCTTTCATCATATATGAATGCAATATGTGAGCTAATCAAAACATGTTTTTACAAAGGTTTTATATTTTGTATTAGTTTTTCATCTAGTCAAATCTCCGTCTGGTGTTTAATTGGGTGTTTCTTTGTGTTTTTTGGTCTATTTTAGTCACCTTAGGACCAAAATACACAATTGACATAATTTCAATTTTAACAAGGGAGAAATATGTTGCCGTATAACAGTGCAGATGTATTCTAATTGATCAATGATTGGCACATAGTGACATCACTTTGTAACACTCACACTTCTATCGGCTATCGCTCCAACATAGTGCACGTTCCAGGCTAATGGGCAGGACATCTATAAGCGTTTGACCAATCACAATACTTTCAGAATGTATCACCTAACTTCTATATGTTAGCTTTAGGTAAACAAATACGTATCATCATTGACCAAAAATATGTGCTAACTGACCCTAGAGGAATGGGTCAGAAAGCGTAGCTTTTTTTTATTTGTTCAATGTTGTCTGAATTAAAGGTGGGGTAGGTAAGTTTGAGAAACCGGCTCGAGATCGCTAGAATTTGAAAATACACAACCGGAGAAAATCTGCCACTTCCTTACAGAGCCCCTCCTCCAACACACACGAACGCACACATGACCAATGAGGGCACGAGATAAGTTTGTGCACAGATGGAAGGCTGACAGGCAGGTAGGCCATCCAGTTATTTTAGCCGGGCCGGCTCAGATGATTGGTCGTGCTTTTTACAGTACTACGGCTTCCACAGATGACATTTTGTTATGGATTTTTTGTCAAAGCACTTAAGATATTCATTGCTATCGGGATGTTAAGAGCATTCCATGGAATATAACAAAAAGTGTATCTCGAGCCGGTTTCTCAAACTTACCTACCCTACCTTTAAGTTAAAAAAGTACTAATTAATTCAGAATTATCTTCTGAATAAAACAAGTGAGACATATTTTGCCTTGCAGATGTATTATAATTAGAGCAATGGTTAGCACAACATTACAACACATGTACAATATAAACAAATAAGTTTGGTAAAAAGAACACATGGTTGTGCATCGGTATTGTGCATGCACATAGACAGACATATACGGCATGTGGGTGCACACTAACGTTTCTCTGTGTTACATAAATCACATTAATTTATTAAGATGGACTGGAAAACTGGTTTGAACTTTCTGCACCATGGTTCTTTATTTTGTCATACAAACATAGCTACAGTATAGTTATGCCAATGAAATTCTTAGGTCACAGGCTTCTCCAACAGTGCAACACAATAAAACAGATAACAGAAAAATATAGTGCAAGTAAATAGTAATATAGTAAATACAAAAGAATAATAGTTTAAAAAAGTGAAATAGTGCAATAAGAGTCTATACGCAAGTTATTGGAATGATATATTAGATAAATAGATAAATAATTACTAAGTAGCAGATGAATGTTATGGATGTTGTTTCAACAGTTCAGGTGATTTTCAGTCTTATGGTAGTCTGTGGTATGAAACTGTCTCTGAATCTGGTGCTTCTAAATTGGTTTGAATCCTACTTTGAGGACAGGAAAAACGTTGTTTCTATAGGTAACTACACATCTGAGTTGACAACTATGACATGTGGGGCTCCTCAAGGCCCCATCCCGGGGCCTCTTCTCTTTAACATCTAAATTCACCAGGAGACTATGATCCAATTCAAACACTGAGTAAGTGCATTGAATAAATCAATGATGGAATTTGTCCATCTTTCTGAAATTAAAAAGATAAAACTCAGGTAATTGTTTTTGGAATCAATGAAGAACGAATAAAAGCCAGCGCTGAGCTTCAGTTGGCAACGTTAAAAACAACAGAAAATGACAGAAATAGGTGTAGTCGTGGACTCTGACCTGAATGATTTTTACACCAATTTCATCTGTAATGTTTCACCTGTAAGGTGTTTCATGTCTTTAACTAGGTTGGGATTGTATTAATTCCATAACACACAATTCACATCATTTCCATCCTGATTTAATAAATGTTCCTTTAAAGTAATACAAGAGATAGATGGTTTTTGTAATGCAATGCAGATTTATTCCAAATGACAAGTAGATCCATTTAAAACAGATAGGTTGATTACATTTTTATGTTGAAGAAAAAAGCAGAAGAAAGCATTTGTTTTATCAGATGGACCATCATGGACTCAGGCGAAGTCGTTCTCTTGTTGGAGCGCACGTTGTTCCATCGCTTTCAGCGCTTTCAACGCTTCAAGTTCTTCCCCGGGCACCAATCTGGTGCAGAGAGAGAAAAGATCCGTAGAGTTTAGACAAAAATAAAACAAATCATGCATCAAAAGCACTTTCAAATAATTGAAATATCAAGAAAAAGACCTTACTTTTTGACTCTTTCAGCAGCTAATTAAAAAAGAGAGAAAAAAACATTCAGTGCGATGCATTATTCTTTGTGATACTGTGCATTATAATTTATTATAAGCTGTTTTATAAACATTAATTATTTTATTGGAGTTCTAATATTTGATTTGGAAGAGAGAGTAACTCACAAGAGAAAACCCCCAAAAACATTATGGAGCCTCTTTAAGTGATGCGACGTAACAGAGATTTCTGCATTAGTTTGGAACCAAATTGTTGGCGGGTCCAAAATTCCCACAAAGGACTTTTGCTTTTTTATGTTAGAATGGACTAAAACGCCAAAGCAATACATTTACACTCAATGGACACACAATGTGACTTTACCATTCAATGCATGACCGACATGATGCCAAAATGAACCCTCCCCAGGTTCAGCCATGAGGACCACCAGCGTCAACACCAGGAACATCATAGCACACTTCATCCTGAAAAACTAAAACACAACATGTGTCACTCAATCAAACTTTTTCATCCACCAATTTACTACAGCTATAAGTCAGAGTATATATTCAATGTCAAATCCCAAAGACTTCATTAAATAACAAATGTAAAATATTTCACCTGATTGAGAGTCTGAACCAAGAGGCTTGTCAAGAGTGCAAAGTGAGATCTTGAAGTGATGTGAATCTCTCTGTCTAACCTGTGTCTTTATAAAGGTATGGTGGAACTTTACATATATTTAGCATATATTTCACAACACTGAATTTTGCAATATCAAGTTCTGTGGAACGATGACAACAGACTCATCCCCGATCACCTGTGTGTGTGTGTGTGTGTGTGTGTGTGTGTGTGTGTGTGTGTGTGTGTGTGTGTGTGTGTGTGTGTGTGTGTGTGTGTGGTGTGTGTGTGTGTGTGTGTGTGGTGTGTGTGTGTGTGTGTGTGTGTGTGTGTGTGGTGTGTGTGTGTGTGTGTGTGTGTGTGTGTGTGTGTGTGTGTGTGTGTGTGTGTGTGTGTGTGTGTGTGTACACCAACAAAATAAACTTAAATATATCTTATTGTTAAACATTAATTCT